GATCCCTGCTCATGTGCAACCCAAGAAAATGTTTTGCGGGGCTAAATAAAGTATACTTTTGCAAATTGAATTTGACCAAACAATTACAAAGGATATCAATTCGTAACCAGGAGGGTAAAAACAGCAGCCGAAACGCTGTATATTTAAGGTCCAAAAGCTTAACTATGATACCCGCATGACATAAATCACCAATCAAATAACCATTTATCTTGTTTTTGCTTGATTTGTAGCCATCATCAAGCATGGGTGTACACGTTCTTCTTCCCGGACGTGTAGTACAATAATACGAAATGGCTCTATCTGTATGAACCAGGAACCAAAAAGCATTTTAATTCAATTAGTCATTAACCAAGAATTGTGGTTATGAGGGATATCCTGATTTTGCAAAATAAAGAAATAAAAAGAAATAACGAAATAATTTATCATCCATCACATGTCTACTTCCATAGGAAGCGTGCAGCCGGAACTTTGTCGCGTCAGATTTGTCTGTGACCAAATGTGCGTGAGGGAAACTGCAGTCTGTAATGCTGGCAGTACGATGGGATGCGATGACACATGCATCAAAGTCAGCGAGCCTGACAACCAGATCCCGTTTGTCGCCTCTTAGGAACGACAAGCAAAGTCGCCCTTTACGGCAAGCATGGGTTGCAGGAGACCTAATCTATCCCGGATCTTCACGGGTCCCATCAAGGCAGACAGTGACTGAAGAATGGGGTCCGTGAAGGCAGACAGTGACTGAAGAATGGGTCTGTGAAGGCAGACAGTGACTGAGGAATGGGTCTGTGAAGGCAGAGAGTGACTGAAGAATGGGTCTGTGAAGGCAGACAGTGACTGAAGAATGGGGTCCGTGAAGGCAGACAGTGACTGAAGAATGGGTCTGTGAAGGCAGACGGTGACTGAAGAATTGGTCTGTGAAGGCAGACAGTAACTGAAGAATGGGTCTGTGAAGGCAGACAGTAACTGAAGAATGGGTCTGTGAAGGCAGAAAGTGACTGAAGAATGGGGTCTGTGAAGGCAGAGAGTGACTGAAGAATGGGTCTGTGAAGGCAGAGAGTGACTGAAGAATGGGTCCATGAAGGCAGACAGTGACTGAAGAATGGGTCTGTGAAGGCAGACAGTGACTGAAGAATCGGTCTGCGAAGGCAGAGAGTGACTGAAGAATGGGTCTGTGAAGACAGACAGTGACTGAAGAATGGGGTCTGTGAAGGCAGAGAGTGACTGAAGAATGGGTCCGTGAAGGCAGACATTTGCTGAAGAATGGCGTCTGTGAAGGCAGACAGTGACTGAATAATGGGTCTGTGAAGGCAGACGGTGACTGAAGAATTGGTCTGTGAAGGCAGACAGTAACTGAAGAATGGGTCTGTGAAGGCAGACAGTAACTGAAGAATGGGTCTGTGAAGGCAGAAAGTGACTGAAGAATGGGGTCTGTGAAGGCAGACAGTGACTGAAGAATGGGTCTGTGAAGGCAGACAATGACTGAAGAATGTGTCCGTGAAGGCAGAGAGTGACTGAAGAATGGGTCTGTGAAGGCAGACAATGACTGAAGAATGGGTCCATGAAGGCAGACAGTGACTGAAGAATGGGTCTGTGAAGTCAGAGAGTGACTGAAGAATGGGGTCTGTGAAGGCAGACAGTGACTGAAGAATGGGTCTGTGAAGGCAGACAATGACTGAAGAATGGGTCTGTGAAGGCAGAGAGTGACTGAAGAATGGGTCTGTGAAGGCAGACAGTGACTGAAGAATGGGTCTGTGAAGGCAGAGAGTGACTGAAGAATGGGTCCGTGAAGGCAGACAGTGGCTGAAGAATTGGTCTGTGAAGGCAGAGAATGACTGAAGAATGGGTCTGTGAAGGCAGAGAGTGACTGAAGAATGGGGTCTGTGAAGACAGACTGTGGCTGAAGAATGGGTACGTGAAGGCAGAGAGTGACTGAAGAATGGGTCTGTGAAGGCAGACAATGCCTGAAAAATGGGTCTGTGAAGGCAGAGAGTGACTGAAGAATGGGGTCTGTGAAGACAGACTGTGGCTGAAGAATGGGTCTGTGAAGACAGACAGTGACTGAAGAATGGGTCTGTGAAGACAGACTGTGGCTGAAGAATGGGTCTGTGAAGGCAGACAATGACTGAAGAATGGGTCTGTGAAGACAGACAGTGACTGAAGAATGGGGTCTGTGAAGGCAGACTGTGGCTGAAGAATGCGGGGAATGCTATAAATCTGATTATAGAAAAATACTGGAAACTAATGTTAACTGTTCACGACAAGGAACATGGGTCATAGGTCATGTCATAGTCAGCCAGGGATGTGCCCTCGTCGTTAGCTAACGTTTGGCAACCCTGTCAAGTGTCTCCCGAAATACGAAAAGTGGCGAATTCCGTTTTGATTTCAAAGCAATTATGTACGGATTTCAGTAACGGTACTTTAGAATTTTGAAGAACCAACAAAAGCATGGAACAGGTAATGGAAAATATGTGGAAAGAATGCAATCATCGAGAACTGATAGCAAACAGGGAGATTGACAGATTTAATGAAAACAATTAACCCCGTAAACGCTATACCCTTCACATATGGTACACGTGTACAGAAATGGGACATCATGAAAACATCGCCATGGATAAGATTTCTATGACTGTAAACAAGACATGTCGTAGATAGTAATGGGTGGTGAGGACATTTGTAGCCGATCACCAGGCTATCTTGCACTGTCATCAAGCCATTATACTGTCGTTTCACACCGAAACAGCCCCCGACATGTGGTGACGAAGGAGTGACGCCGAGAGACGCGCAAGTGGTTGGAGTGGAGCTGTAGTTGGGAGAGGGGGGCGTGGTGGTAGTAAATTACAGCTGTTGATCTATCCCATGTGTTCTCGTTAGTAAGGCGTTAGCCTAAATAACTGACTTTTAACATCAAAAATATTTTATTTGATGTGTGTGGAGTTGTATCATGATTATCTTAATTTTCTTTTCGAGATTAACGATCGAACAATGTTTGAATTCTTCGAAAGTCCGGAAACAGGACATACATAAACACGTGTTCCAAACCAGGATATAAGATATTTGTTGGGACATGGAACATTACAAACGCAGCCCTTTCACTGAGTAGATTACGTAAATGATATCATTTTTTAGTGGATGGGGGGCGTGCCACCACCTGACCTAATGTTTCCCGGCGCAATTTTAACCCTTTATTCTACTATTTACGCAAAGATAAACCCACTTCTACCTGACGTTACATTCTACCCGTTGCTTATAATATCGATCACTACTTGTCCAGACGTGAGTATACACAGGTTCCCGACATACAGTTGGACCTGGACTGAGCGCGGCGTTATACCAACAAGAAACAAGCGGTGGTCCTACCCGGCGATTACCCCACCACATTACGCTACCCGAAGATAAACATGTCACTCTATCGGGGAAAGCCATGTCTTCATGACCACGACCACTATCACCACAACTGACCAAACTATACAAGACTCCAAGAAGCCACTTACGTAGAAGTACCCTGTGGAGATCACAGGGCGTAAATTGTGTCAAGTGCGTTCTTGTTGTCTGGCTATGTGATGACACATAGCCGTACTATCGATTACCCGTTTGTATGCAGGGTTAGTGGGATAACTGTATTACCCGTTTGTATGCAGGGTTATTAGGATAACTGTATTACCCGTTTGTATGCAGGGCTATTGGGATAACTGTAGTACCCGTTTGTATGCAGGGTTAGTGGGATAACTGTATTACCCGTTTGTATGCAGGGTTAGTGGGATAACTGTATTACCCGTTTGTATGCAGGGTAAGTGGGATAACTGTATTGCCCGTTTGTATGCAGGGTTATTGGGATAACTTTATTACCCGTTTGTATGCAGGGTAAGTGGGATAACTGTATTACCCGTTTGTATGCAGGGTTATTGGGATAACTGTATTACCCGTTTGTATGCAGGGTTAGTGGGATAACTCTATTGCCCGTTTGTATGCAGGGTTTTTGGGATAACTGTCTTACCCGTTTGTATGCAGGGTTATTGGGATAACTTTATCACCCGTTTGTATGCAGGGTTATTGGGATAACTGTATTACCCGTTTGTATGCAGGGTTATTGGGATAACTGTATTACCCGTTTGTATGCAGGTTTAGTGGGATAACTGTATTACCCGTTTGTATGCAGGGTTATTGGGATAACTGTATTACCCGTTTGTATGCAGGGTTAGTGGGATAACTGTCTTACCCGTTTGTATGCAAGGTTATTGGGATAACTTTATTACCCGTTTGTATGCAAGGTTATTGGGATAACTGTATTACCCGTTTGAATGCAAGGTTATTGGGATAACTGTATTAGCCGATTTAATGCAGGGTAAGTGGGATAACTGTATTACCCGTGTGTACGCAGGGTTAGTGGGATAACTGTATTACCCGTTTGTATGCAGGGTGAGTGGGATAACTGTATTACCCGTTTGTATGCAAGGTTATTGGGATAACTGTATTAGCCGATTTAATGCAGGGTAAGTGGGATAACTGTATTACCCGTTTGTATGCAGGGTAGGTGGGATAACTGTATTACTCGTTTGTATGCAGGGTAAGTGGGATAACTCACTTATTCTTCATACGCCACGTTCACGAAATATATTAATAAACCTCTCAGCGTGGGTGTAACATGATTATATGTAAAGGTGCCATACATATACGTCGTAAACAAACACAATTTACATGTGGCATCTTATCGTTAAATTTATATTTTCCGCTCAAGAAATTATGTGTACTAAAAGTCAATACCTGTCACTATTTACACGTCCTACTATCTTGTTAAGGGATAACCGCATATTTTTAACAAACATTTAATCGGGTCATTGTCTTTACGAGCCGTTCGTGCCAAGTGGCCCAAACTATAAAAATAACTGTCCTACCCATGGATGGTGTTTACAACTTTGATGCGTCGCTGTTTTGACTCGATCAAATCTGGCGACATGTGCGCATGCGCTGGTGTGAGTATATCCCAGACGAAGGCCTGAAGTGTTATCATTATCGAAAGTGATATTTCATTTTGCACGTGTCTTCTCGAGTGACACGCGACATAACAACTCTCGCCGTCAGTATGCCCAGATCTTTCCTAATCCGAAACGCAACCCGCAGTTATTGCAGCGACAATTCTGCTTTGACCCCAATCGGTGAGTACATGATTTATTTGCCCATAGAATACTTTATTGTTTTTAAAAATAATTCATAAACTATTGAGATATTCCACATCAAGACCCGGACGCCGGATTCCGCTGTGCGATATTTATATCAGGGCACAAATAGGTGAATACACTTCTTGATAAATATTTATATACTTATATTTTATTGTGCTTATTTCTATATTATAAAATATACTGACACGTCCAACGTTATCCATTTTCATATGTTTGCAGCAATCATTCCTTTGTTGAATTCCGTATTTTAACAGCTTTCTCTAACCAGTATTTAGTCCACGTCAATTTTAATATTACGAATAACTTGTGTTTCATCTAATTGTAAATTCGTGCGTTTATTAACAGAGGTGAATTAATAGCTAGCGCAAGATTTTAGAGAAACATAGGTTTGTCTTGACTAAATGTAGCTCACGTGGAGATGGCGTTGTTTGCTAATTATATAGACAGCCTAAAGCATGAGTTGGACGCGAAACCAGGAAGATCCTGATATACAATATAAAGATGATGCATAAGTTGCGTTAATTAATTAGATAATGCTACTGAATTCATCACATTCCTACCTACACTTTTCGTGGAAATGCATGATTATTCCTTAGAATTAGAACATTATTTCACACGTAAAATCGTGCGTAGGCCTTCCAGCTAAGGGTCTTTGTCACAGTGAGTAAAATATAAATGACATATTTAAGTTTGACCCCACAAAAAGTTTCGAGTTATTTTAGTTCTCTGATGAGGTTCAAAACTCCCCTAAATAAGACAGATTGATATAATCACATGATAGAGCTATAACCACCGTCATGACAGATACAGGAATAAGTTTATGAATACTTCCTTCCTAAAATACTTCACACATAATGCAGAGAAGCATTATGTGTAAAAATACTGGTTTTCAGAGTTTGACAAAATCTGTCATTTTAGTAATTCTTAGAATGAAACCGGATGTTGCATATACATGAAGATCCACACATTACATACAGCAAGCGCCCGGCCTCAACTGACGGAAACATCGAGATCACCTCGAGACACCACCCACCCCCCCACCCCCTCAACCCCCTCCCTCCCGTCCCACACATTTATTTCGCAATGCTGGCCCTGCGATTTCCCAATCTCCTGTGAAATCGTTTCAGTCTCACATGTTCTCCACACTAACTTCCACATGCTATCGACTGATTCAGCCTTGCGTGTTCTACACCATATCGGTGGTAGAGCGTCCAACGAGAGCGGAAGGTCGGGGTTCGACTCCCGGCCGCGTTTCCAAAAGACGTTAAAAGATGGTACTTGGTATTACCCTGTCTGGCGCTCGTCATTAACGCGATAAAACGAGGACTGGTCGGCTCCGAGTCTGTATACTGTGTCTGAGTAGGGTATTCATGTTAAACTGCGGCGTGGTATCTCAGTGGGCTAGCGCTATAAAATAGGCATTAGTCACACACAGACACAGACACATACATACGCGACGTTAATCCCAATCTCACCTCGCCTACTCCCTATCTTCGACATGCTATCTACTTGTTCACTCTCACGTGTTCTACTCCCTATCTCCGACATGGCATCTGCTGGTTCAGTCTCACATGTTCTACTCCCTATCTCCGACATGCTATCTACTGGTTCACTATCACGTGTTCTACTCCCTATCTCCGACATGGTATCTACTGGTTCACCCTCACATGTTCTACTCCCTATCTCCGACATGCTATCTGCTGGTTCAGTCTCATATGTTCTACACCCTATCTCCGACATGCTATCTACTGGTTCACTATCACGTGTTCTACTCCCTATCTCCGACATGCTATCTACTGGTTCACCCTCACATGTTCTACTCCCGATCTCCGACATGCTATCTATAGGTTCACCCTCACGTGTTCTACACCCTATCTCCGACATGCTATCTGCTGGTTCAGTCTCACGTGTTCTACACCCTATCTCCGACATGCTATCTACAGGTTCACTCTCACGTGTTCTACTCCCTATCTTCGACATGCTATCTACAGGCTCAGTCTCACATATTCTACTCCCTATCTCCGACATGCTATCTGCTGGTTCAGTCTCACATGTTCTACTCCCTATCTCCGACATGCTATCTTCAGGTTCAGCCTCACATGTTCTACTCTCTATCTCCGACATGCTATCTACAGGTTCAGTCTCACGTGTTCTACTCCCTATCTCCGACATGCTATCTGCTGGTTCAGTCTCACATGGTCTACTCCCGATCTCCGACATGCTATCTACAGGTTCACCCTCACATGTTCTACTCCCGATCTCCGACATGCTATCTGCTGGTTCAGCCTCACATGTTCTACTCCCTATCTCCGACATGCTATCTACAGGTTCAGCCTCACATGTTCTACTCCCTATCTCCGACATGCTATCTGCTAGTTCAGTCTCATATGTTCTACACCCTATCTCCGACATGCTATCTACAGGTTCACTCTCACGGGTTCTACTCCCTATCTCCGACATGCTATCTACAGGTTCACCCTCACGGGTTCTACTCCCTATCTCCGACATGGTATCTACTGGTTCACCCTCACATGTTCTACACCCTATCTCCGACATGTTATCTACAGGTTCAGTCTCATATGTTCTACGCCCTATCTCCGACAAGCTATCTACAGGTTCACTCTAACGTGTTCTATGCCCTATCTCCGACATGCTATCTACAGGTTCAGTCTCACGTGTTCTACTCCCTATCTCCGACATGCTATCTACTGGTTCACCCTCACATGTTCTACTCCCGATCTCCGACATGCTATCTATAGGTTCACCCTCACGTGTTCTACACCCTATCTTCCACATGCTATCTACAGGTTCACCCTCACATGTTCTACTCCCTATCTTCGACATGCTATCTACAGGTTCAGCCTCACATGTTCTACTCCCTATCTCCGACATGCTATCTACAGGTTCAGCCTCACATGTTCTACTCCCTATCTCCGACATGCTATCTACTGGTTCAGCCTCACATGTTCTACTCCCTATCTTCAAAATGCTATCTACAGGTTCAGTCTCACGTGTTCTACTCCCTATCTCCGACATGCTATCTACTGGTTCACCCTCACATGTTCTACTCCCGATCTCCGACATGCTATCTATAGGTTCACCCTCACATGTTCTACACCCTATCTTCCACATGCTATCTACAGGTTCACCCTCACATGTTCTACTCCCTATCTTCGACATGCTATCTACAGGTTCAGCCTCACATGTTCTACTCCCTATCTCCGACATGCTATCTACAGGTTCAGCCTCACATGTTCTACTCCCTATCTTCGACATGCTATCTACAGGTTCAGTCTCACATGTTCTACTCCCTATCTCCGACATGCTATCTACTGGTTCAGTCTTCCATGTTCTATACCCTATCTCCAACATGCTATCTACAGGTTCAGCCTCACATGTTCTACTCCCTATCTTCGACATGCTATCTACAGGTTCAGTCTCACGTGTTCTACTCCCTATCTCCGACATGCTGTCTACAGGTTCAGTCTCACATTCACATATTACATCGGCATTCACGTATTGTTTCGGTATTTACAAATACAGGCATTCACGCACTGTACTATCATTTACGTAGTACATCGGTATTGACATTTTGTATATGTATTCACGCCTTGTATCGGTGTTCACATATTTCATCGGCATTCGCGTATCGTATTGGTATTAACATGCAAACAACACATTGGCATTCACGTACTGAATCGTCATCATAAAGATATATACAGCCAAAAAAGTAATTGGATCAATGATGGTTTCGAGGAAATCGTATCGCGACTGTAGCCACACTCTGTGGGTTACGTTGTGGTTGGGGAGAATGATGTAGCGGTATTAGGAGTGGGAAGCAGGTCGTATCGCTTCATCAACTGGTCTTACATCAACTGTTCGTTCATCGGATCTTTTCCCCAAAGTCTGGAGACAGGGAGCAAACATGTTCCATTACAGAGTACATTGTTCCAGATTATTGTGATTTTGAGACTTATTTTAATTTTGTAGCGCATTAATTCTTGCTTTTCAATAAAAGCGCATGCACGGAGTTAACAGGTAGCCGGTTCATTTGTGCAATATTCATAGTTCAGTCCCACATGTTCTACTCCCTATCTCCGACATGCTATCTGCTAGTTCAGTCTCATATGTTCTACACCCTATCTCCGACATGTTATCTACAGGTTCACTCTCACGTGTTCTACTCCCTATCTCCGACATGGTATCTACTGGTTCACCCTCACATGTTCTACACCCTATCTCCGACATGTTATCTACAGGTTCAGTCTCATATGTTCTACGCCCTATCTCCGACAAGCTATCTACAGGTTCACTCTAACGTGTTCTATACCCTATCTCCGACATGCTATCTACTGGTTCAGTCTCACGTGTTCTACTCCTTATCTCCGACATGCTATCTGCTGGTTCAGTCTCACATGTTCTACTCCCTATCTCCGACATGCTATCTGCTGGTTCAGTCTCACGTGTTCTACACCCTATCTCCGACATACTATCAACAGGTTCACTCTCACGTGTTCTACTCCCTATCTCCGACATGCTATCTAAAGGTTCACTCTCACGTGTTCAACTCCCTGTCTTCGACATGCTGTCTACAGGCTCAATCTCGCGTGTTCTACTCCCTATCTCCGACATGCTATCTGCTGGTTCAGTCTCACGTGTTCTACAACCTATCTCCGACATACTATCAACAGGTTCACTCTCACGTGTTCTACTCCCTATCTCCGACATGCTATCTACTGGTTCACCCTCACATGTTCTATACCCTATCTCCGACATGCTATCTACAGGTTCAGCCTCACATGTTCTACTCCCTATCTCCGACATGCTATCTACAGATTCAGTCTCACGTGTTCTACTCCCTATCTTCGACATGCTAACTACAGGTTCAGTCTCACTTGTTCTACTCCCTATCTCCAACATGCTATCTACTGGTTCAGTCGCATATGTTCTACGCCCTATCTCCGACAAGCTATCTA